CTCATTCAATAACTTCCCTCTCAGCTCTGTTCATTGCTAGCCTGGGTGCTATAACCAATTACCCTACATCCGCTTGAGAACCTCCCTCCGCTCGATGATAGTGGTCCACATCCTAGTTTAGGCATTCTTTTTGACATCTCCTCTTCGGATTTTCATTTTGAATCCAAGTCCTCCCCAACTGCAGCTCTGACAACTCTGTCGCTCCAAGGATGGCTGCACTGAGATAGCTCCCAAAGATTGCACTGGGGTCCCTCCAATCTCGCGGCCTAAAATCAAAACTGCGCTAAGATCAGTGACGAGATTAATTATATTAATTACCCTAGTGTGTATAGTGAAACACCTCAAAGCCGAAATCTGATTCGTGTCGACGCTTCCTGCTAAGCATCTCTGCTACGACGTCGCTTCCCGATAGATACTGGATCCAGCGAACTCGTAGTCCTTTATTAATCTGAACTCAATACCATCTCCTCTGTTGTCTCTGTTGTAGTTCCTTCTGGGGGAGAAGAGGTACTTCAGACTCTTGTGGTTGGTCTTGTGAGTGTGAATAACTCAAATTGCAACCCCATATAGTAGTGCCTCCATGACTTCAGTTTGCGAAAACCACTGCTGCTAACTCCAAATCATGAGTGTGCGATAGTATCTGCTCATGTACCCTCAACTGCCGTTTTAGATATTAAGCTACTACCCTCTGAGTCTCCATCAAATACGCCCTACCCTCATAGTCCTGCCAACGATGCGCTGAAGTATACGACTAATTCCTGCTCACTGCTCGGAATGGTCAAAACCGGCACGCCTGTAGTCACTTGGCTCTATTCAAAATATCAAAAGGCCTCTGGCCACTCCATGCCCCAAGATGAACGTACACCTTCTTCGTAAGGATAGTCTGTAATTGTAATTCCTTGGGTATTGCATACTTGTGCAGCGCCCGAAATCTTCAGAGATCAGTCCTGAATGAACTTCCTATAATATCAGGCCAAACCTAAATAAGCTAGCGAATGCTGTGTTCACCCGTACTTCGGTGTCGCTCCCAATCAAGAACTGCCGTGACCTTAGCCGCGGTCCACTGCTTATACCCTCTCGACTGATGACATGACCAAGAAATCTGACTTCTGAAAGCCAAAACTTCGCACTGTGTTCCTGAACTTAGCCCATATTAGCTATGTCGCTGGAAGACGTCCTCAATGCCTATCCGCTAGATGCCATTCCTCATTGATCTGCTCCGACCTCGAGCTAAATGAGAATATCATCGATGAAAAACCGTCACAAACTGATCTAAGAAGGGACGGAACACCGTTCATCAAGGTTCCACTGCAATCACCGCTCGGTTCCCGATGCATTTGGTCAACCAAATGGCAATGACCAACGAACTCGAAAGAAACCATATCGAGTATAAAGATAAGGCGGTCTTGGGAATACCTCCATCTCCCGAACCCGCCCCACTGATGATAGCCAGAACGAAGATCAATCTTCGAGGAGAAATACTTTGCGCTCCCTGCAACTGCGTCAAACAAGTCATCGATCCTATAGGTAGTGGGTACCTATTCCGCGATAGTGACCTTGGTTCAACTCTCGATAATCTATGCTAATCTTCATAAACTACCGTCCTTCTTCTTCACGAAGAGGACCGGCGCAGCCCCACGGCAGAACTGACTCCGGCCGAATAAAGCCCATGAGCTAACAACTCATGCCAACTGGTCTGAAGCTCCCTCATCTCGCGCTGGTGCCATACGAATAGGGTGCGCGGGATATCGGGGCTGTGCCAGTGCCAAACTCAATACTAAACTCCACCTCTCTTCACCGGAGTTAGTCCAGGTACTGTCCTGAAAGACATCCTTGAATTACTCGTGAGACACTCTTCGAGTCTCCAATAACTCCAGCACCCTATCCCGTCGCATCACCTCCCGATGTACGCCAGAAATGACCTCCGCTAAGTCGGATCTGGCGCCGGCCTGAGAAGTGGCTCACAATCATCTCAGACCCATCGGACTTTCGCCTCAACTTGACTGTCTTCCGCAAAGCAGTCAATACTAACTATGCGTAGAAGACAACCAATCCATACCAAGGATGACGTCAACTCGGACATGTGCCAACACTATCAAATCAAACTATGAATCCCGACTCGTCTAGACTGACGGTACACCTCCTACAATGATGCTCTACCAGCAAGCGATACGCTACCTTAAAGTCGGTGCGAAACAGAATAGAATAGAGGGGTGTTCTAGTGGCTGAGCTACGCAGGCTGGATCTAGCCCATAAATGCATGCGAGATGAATGAATTGCGAAGCTCCCGAATCGAAAAGAATACGGCGGCGAAGAGAGTTCACAACAAGAACGTACCCTCCACCACAGCTCCGCTGACGCCATTGATCACTGACGGCAACCACTGCATATACTCCCTGCCCGTGGCTAAAGACTGCCTCTGCCTCGATTGGGCTGGAGATATGGGATAATCTGTCCTGGGCCAAACATCCTGAACTGCCCGAATACTGTCCCTCTGTCCTCTGAGCCTGCTGGCGGTGCCTCAAGCCTATTCTCGCTGGCCCTGACCTCTGCCTGCTGGCGCTGCTGCTGCTGCTGGTTCGCGACCTTTGCCCTGCTGCGGCCTCCTGCTGGTGCGCTGCGCGCACTCTGTATGCCTATGATGTCCGACGCTCTTTGCTGACACAGGTTAAAACAAGATCCCTAGGGAACCTGCGCTGCCCTGCATGTGCTCTCTACTCTGCTGGGGCGCTCCCCTTTTATAAAGCCGGCCCCTAAGCCTGTTGCTTGCTGTCCTAGAAAAACCTCTTTCTTGTTCTTGCCCTCTGTCCCCACATCTGTCCGCGTCTTTGCCTTCCTTCCTTGTCTTTCTGGAACATAGAAGTCTCAGTCTCCTGTTATTATTGATGTAAACTTGAGTATAGTACAGTAGTATATAAATATTTTTTATATATAATCATTTGGTGATTAATATTATTAATGACCTTGTTATTATTGATGTAAACTTGAGTATAGTACAGTAGTATATAAATATTAATAAAAAGATTTTTGGTTGATTATTAATTATTAATATAATTCAGAATATTATGTGAAAATTTGAATTTTTCCCTCTCTTAATTTCCTCTAAATTGAATTTGAATTCCTTCCATATTTTTCCCTAATTTATTTCTCAATCAATCCCCTGATCACTCCCCATCTTTTGATTTCTTTCCAAAACAACCCCCCAAATCACGTGCATATCCTTTTCTCTCTCCCCTTCCATAAAATAAACATTTTTTTTTCTCTTCACCATCACCCCTCTCCAACAGTTCAAAAAAAAAAAAAGAGAGAAAAAAACCCATCTTTTTCTTCTTCTTCTTACTCCCAGCACCGAACCTGACAACCGCCGCCCTATCCCGGTATCCACGTCCCGTGCCTGGCCCGTCCCCCCAACCGCCATCGCCGACCTCCGCACCTGGCGGAACGCCGCCCGGCGACCGCCTTTCACTGCCGCCCGCCCCTGTACCCTTGTTTCTCTCTCCCTCGCGACCCCATGTCCGCCGCCTCGTCCGAGCTCCGACCGCCCTCCTCTGCCAGCTCCGACGAGCTCTCGCCGCCGTCACCTCTCCTCCCCCACTCGCCTCGTCGGCCGCCCCTTCTCTCTCTCGTGCTGCACGAGCTCGAACGCCGCTGCACCCGACCACGAACCTCACCACCTTTGTCACCTTCCCCGCCTCCGTCCAGCCACCACGCCGGCCTCTCCATCCCCCTGACGCGTCGCTGTCCAGACCCGCTGCCCTCTGACGACCATCGCCTCCATCGCACGCCATATGTTCGACGGTATGCCAATAGCCCCCGTTGAGCCCCTCAGTGATGACAACCGCCATCGGCGTCGCCGTCCCCAAACATCACCATCACCCTCTCGACGGCAAGCATTTTTGTCTTGCTCTTTGTTGAATTCGTTCTCATTATTATTATGCAAGCATATTTGTTCTTTTAACTCTTTAATTGATCTCCTTATTATTTTTCATAATTGACACATGTTCATCTCCTTGTCTGTTTTACAAATTTCAGAAAATTTCAGTTTTAAATATATTTCATCCTTTTTATTTGGTCTTGATCATTATCCTCAAAGATTGATTTACTTATTTCTGCAGTAGTTGAGATATATAACATTAGATTTTGAGGTCTGTAACCGGTTCCAAGTTATACATGTTGGATGTATGTTATGTTTCTGATTTTCGAAGTCTAATGTACCGGTCCTAGTGTCTGACTTTTTATACACGAGGACTAGATGTTTATAACTCATTAGGAGAGAAAATGTATACCTATGACAGCTATATAACATTAACGGCAACCAATATTAGTTCACTTATCAGTCTTTGAGTAGGTCTCCAATTAATAATCTCTATGACGAATCTTCACCTTGACAATGACTATAATGTTTGACCTGTTCTCCTTGTTGTCCTCAATTATTATTTTTATTTATTTTCATTTTTGTATTTTTTATATATCATTAGGAGAAACATCATGCTGATGACTAACCTAGGATTTGATAATGAACCAAGAGAATATCTCTGATTGTAGCATGCACCCAATCCCATATCCCTTGATGTGTGCTAAACTTTTCTCCTTTCATAGAACGACTCATGTTATTTCTTGACTGAAACCGTATAACCCAGCACATTAACAATTTAGCAGGCCTTTTGATCCTTGAGTACGACCCGGCTGAGAGAAGTCCACTTGTGCTAGGTTACAGTTTGTTTCCAAAAGTGAAGCATGTTCTCTAATGATAGTATAAGTAGCAATGACATTTATGTCTAGAGATTATAAGCTTTTAGCCGAAACCTCATCGAAATCTCATTTGCTTTATGTGACCCACCTACCTAATTTCACAATAAGACACTAAGTGATGTTTAATAAAATTCAAACGACAACTACCTTATCCTTATGAGATACTATACTGAATACAATATTGCCTCTATTTGTAACTTTTTCCTATGTGTACTTGTAAAGCTATGATTTTGATACACTCCTTTCTTTGTAAACTCTTCCTGTATGCTCTATACACAAAGTTCTTGTACTTTTGTACACTCTGTATAATCAACGCTGTCAATACTCACTAACTATTAAAGAAGGCAAGATTAAGTGGCAAACCATTATGACTTGATGATGAGTTGATGACGTTTTATGTGCTATGATTTTGTTACTTGATCACCTAGTTGTTATCCAATAGGAGAGACTGTGCATGAATACGACTCCTGTTAAAAATATGATTTATAAGCGTGCTTTCATAGCATGGCTATGTTCTCGATATCGACATCCCGATATGAGATTTTTCCTTGGCTATTTACTATTATAGCATCGACTAGACGATGCACCTATCTTGATTTGGACATGTTCTGGGTCACGGTTATTATCATAGTTTTACAGAAGTCGTTCCACGGTAACTCTGTTGTTAGTGCACAACATTTCATGCACAGTCACTTAAAATTTAATCGACAAACATGAGGTTTATAAAGGGGAATTAGATGGAGAATATAACATGTATATAAACGGGCATATGCGCATTCCTGATATCCTGAGTTATATATATACATGGGCCAAAGAGCCAATTCCTGACTTGAAGCCGTGTTCCCGGGACGGTTTACGGGGAACCGATTTATACATGAAAATATTCTTCTCTAATTCAAATAACATGTAAAAATAAGAATAATGTGTTTGTATGCTTTGTGATAGATTTGGCATGCACGGTATGGACCTGGATGAAGTATGGATGTTGTATATTTGATATTGAATTTTGGGAGTTAATATTTAGAGATTTACAATTTGAGATATATGGTATATACGAGGGTTTCCTTGTTTGGATTATTCCCTCGACGTACTCATCTCTCATATTGTGGGTTTCTAAATCTTACCTCATTTTAGTATAGGGTATAAAATTGTATGCTTTAGGGTAGACCTTGTTTGATATACATGTTTAGAAATTTCCTTTATTATCTTTAACTGAGGGTTCATCTTATTTTGATTTATAAGAATAACTTTTCCTTTTATCACTGAAATTTTAGAATTTATCTTTTCTTTATATCCACCACTTATACTTACACGTACATAATTTCCTCATTTTACATGCTTGCTGGGAGTTTTCTGACTCCCCTGGGGTTTGCATGCCCCAGACTTGGGATTTGTTCTTTCTTCGCAGGACCAAGAGTACTTTAAGGATTAAGACCAGCGACAGTGATCACCTTCTCTCTCTCAGCTTCAGTTATTGAGTCTTTCTTGAAATCACTTGTGGTACTTCAGACTAAGATGTATTTTCCTCTTTCCTACTTTGAAGAGTTGTAGACATGTAAGAGAAATTTGTCTTTTCAGAGTTTTCTTTATCTATCTAGTTCCTTTGCTATTTTAGTTACATGCTCTATGTAGTAGTTCTTTTGGCAATATACTTGTATACAGGATGACCTAGAGGCGTGAATGTGACTGTATGGTTGCATTGCCGGCCGAGTCACGCTCCAAATTATAGCATTTTGGAACCGGGGCGTGACAAGGTTTTAGTGGTATCAGAGCCAGGTTTAGAAATTGTTGTCTCATCTTATATACAAGTGCAAACTAAGATTAGGCCAAAAATAGAGCATGTATAGACTAGGTTCTTTCCTTTCCAGAAATACGTCCTTTAACTCCCAATACCCTGATTCTCAAGTCATAATCTTGACCAATCTCATTTCAGTTCTAATCTTGACCAATCTCATTTTAGGGAATCCCCTACTCCAGTTATCCCTCGTATGCTTGGAATTTAATATTTGAGGACATGAGCTTGGATTGAGGAAATATGATAAGTGTTATTTAGAACTAAGTTAGAGGATCAAGAGTGAAAATCTTTTTGTATAGAATTTGGATTTGATGTTGAGTGAGTTGAGAAGATATATTCATATTATATCAAGATTAAGGTGATAAACAAGGTGGGTGAAAAGAGAAATCTATTAGAGATGTCAAAATATTAGTTGAAATTTTAATGATTGAGATATGCAAAGATCCCAAAAAGAGGTTTACTAGGACATGGGATGATTTAAATATTAACAAAAGCCAAGAAAAGAGTTATTATGATATGAGATTTTTTTTAATAAAGATATTTGATTCTTGATCAGACTTATTTGATGATTGAAGATGCATGGACATACATATAGATCAACTTAGAAGATATTTGGTGAATTTCTGATCTTGACAATTTAGAATTTTGTGAGCAGTGATGGAGGATTTATATGAAAATTTGTACTTCATCTGAATTTATATGAATAGTATAAGATCTTTGGAGATGATTTTAACATTAATATTAGTAGAGCAACACAACAAAAGGATGGCATCTAGAATGTTATAAATTTTGAAGAGAGGTATACATTATATCTGGACTATGTTCGAAAATAATATGGATGATATATAATTAATTTTACTATGTTGGAAAATAAGATGAGTGATATGTAATTGATTTGAGGCATCATGAATTTGAATATGACTTTTAAGCACTAAGATGTGCATGGATCAACTAAGAGGCAGTACTAGGACAATGAAGGGAATAAAGTTTCTATAGAATTTGTGATAAGGCGTTGAGAATGTGATATTAGCCTAGGCTTATACAATGAAAATTTGTGAACGAAATTGCATAAACTGACCTTGGGCGTATTTGAGTGAACTAATGCTTTTGAAGTTGAGAATTGAGTTACAAAAAAAAAAAAAAAATTGATACAGACGCAACGTGATCATCATTTTTGGTACATGAAATTTTTTTAGCGGAACATTGCCATATGAGTACAATGGAAGAATGAATGGTAGAGTGATCTAAATTTCGAGGACGAAATTTCTTTTTAAGGTGAGTGAGATGTAATACCCAACACATGATGACTTATGTTGGTCACCTGAAATTATCCTAACTATACATATGCACTAATCATTATATTAGAGAGGGGACCAAGATGCTAAAAATAAAAACCTCTACCGTGTGTAAGAATTCTTCTCTCGAGCCTTATGGATTATGAGTTATGATGATTAGGGGCTGGTTTGATGAGCTTTGTTTAAATTTTGATAATGTATCTTCTTGGCGTTATGAAGCTTTAATATGTAATCATACCTTGGAGTTAGAGTAATCTCATTTTGAGGAATCTACCTTCCTGGAAGTTATCTAACTCCGAAATGGACAAAACTGGTTCTTGCATGAGTCTAAACCTTTGTTTAGATGTAAGTATGTGGGTTCTGCACTAACTTTAATGACCTGGTACTTGGTAGCATTAAACTTTGATGATCAGTTTTTTTTTTTGGGCCTTAATTTGGTAGACATCCTCTCATCACATGTGGGTTTGTTTCATTTGATTAATTTGATTCCCTCAACTTATCACAAAATTGTTGTTTAGTTATTAATTATGAATATTAGACCATAAAGGACCTTTATGCAAGAAGAAAGTTATCTAATATAATTATGTTAGAGGTTATTGGAAGTTGATGGTTGTTAAGGGGTTCAGTGCAATTGAAAATTTGTGGAGCAGTTTGTGGTAAATGGATACCCTTATAAAAGAAAGAGAGTAAACCCTAGGGTGCCTTTCCTCCAAGCCGCAACTAGGAAAAAAAAAAGAAAAAAAGAAAAAAAGAAAAAAAAAAGAAAAAACCCCCTGTCTTCAACATCTCTCTAAATCCAAGTCCATGTTCCTCCTCCCATGCTCTTTCTCATCTCCAAAGTTTTCCCCCTTCTTTCTTTAACCTATGAGATCCCCTCAGATCCCCCAATCCCCCAAATCAATCAACCGCCTCAAACCCCTTCTTTGTCTCCCTCTCCATCGAGCGCGTCGTCCTCGACATCGCCCACTCCCTCTTGGGCAGCCGTAGGTTCTCGTTCGACGTGCCGACGAGGTCCGCATCGAATTAGATATACGTCCCGGAGCTCGACCGGATCGTGCTCGAGGATAAGTTTACGGCAAGCATTTTCTTATTTCCTCAATTCTTTTGTTTTTTTTTTCAGGGTTGCCTTATTTTCCATAATCGTCTGGCTTGTTTTACAAATTCTATAAATTTCTTTCTTCTAAATCTGTTCAGATTTTTGTCCGTGTCCAGATACAAAACTATTAATGAAAATGAATTTATATTGAATTTTGAATTAACAAATGATATATTATAACCTGCAAATCTATAAGACCCATACTTGTTATTGTTTACGACTAAATTCTCCATACTTACTACTAAATACTCTACTTTTCATATACAATTGAATTTTGTTTTATCAACCTATCATTATATGAATTTATTAACACTAATCTCTCATATATCGATGATCCTTATCTCTACCACCACCTGTATAATTATATTGAATGAACAACAGTTACCCCCACACACACTCACACACTGCTTGGTTGGGGTATGGTGGTACACGAGAGGGTCAAGAGGACAAATAGGATACAGTAAGAATAGCATATATTATGTTGTAGTGGTCATTAAGGGTAGTTTATATGGTTGGATTTTAACACATTCAATCGTATTTAACGGAGTCAGTAGTGCTAAACAATCACACTGAGAGAGTCCTCATTAGCATAACCTTACTATTATGAATCTATGATCTATGTCCTTGAGATGGATGAGAACTTACAGGTAAAATATGGAACGAGTATATATTTTTATGAAACTCGAGGTTATTTTTATCATGGATAATACAAGGGAATATTATTTGAGATGGTTTGGATGGATTAAAAGGATTGATAGTTCCATCTTGGAAGGAGGTGTTTGATTTTTTGGTCCAAGAAAGATGAACCTGGTGAGGAAGTGCTCAAACTAATTATTTGTAGTCTCATTCATGTTATTGATTTGATCAGTAGCCCTTCCGTGCAATTAGCTCCTCATTAAATTATTTTTCTACCAGAAAGTTTTTTTTTATCTTCGTGGATTTGTTACATGTTCTTGTCCAGTGCCTTGCTTTAACGTTTTGTATTTTTTATGGGAACAGTGGGAAGTGTTAAGGATTGCCTAGCAATTGATAGCCAAAGTTGTTAAAGTATATTATTCATGCACGGTATCTAAATCAGGCCAGATGCTCGAGTTCTTTTTTTTTATCTGAATAATCATGTGCATAATTCTTCAACACTTGGGGATGAACGAAATCTAATGTCGATGACTCGTGGATGAGTGACGTTACGAAAATAAGTTGAGCTTAATTAAGTGGACAATGTGATTCTACTGGAGTAAACCAAATCCAAAAGATGTGGACAACACGTGAGCTTCTGTGGGTTGAGTCATGGTTGGTTCTGCATATAGTAAGGAGACAGAAGACACATAATTTTTAACTTAGTGATTAGCCTAGGATCATTTCTGCTCCAGGCAAATGGGGAGAAAATGAATGGTGGGAACTTTTTATTGTTTTATCCTTTTAGTATGGAAATCACTAGCCTAGGATGTATTTTGGCACATCAACTTTTTTTGTGCATATGAAACTTTCAAAATATGCAACCAGAAAGAAGAAATATCTCAAGTATTAACAATTACGTTAACCTATCTATACGTGAATCAAAACCGTGATTTCAAATTCTTATCCGAGTCTGACTGTCGTAGCTTTCTGGTAGATGTTACCTCTCGTTTTACGGATTATAGGGCATAGCGCATCATATATCAGTGAGTCTGCAACGTTGTTGACGAGACCTATAACAGATTTCCATGCTGATCATTTGTAGTCACCTTTACTACGGTGGGTTTGTGCAATAAAATAGATATCCTATTAAGACATGCATAAGCAAGCATGAACTGGTGACATTGACGCAATATGCAAAATACATGATTTAATGCAATTGTACTTGTTATGAACTTACTGGTGGTTTTGACATGCTATGACTTATGAAAGATTGTTGTTGATCACTCTAGTTGTCATCCTATAGGTGAGACTGGTGCATGAAGACGCACCTCCCTGTTAAAAATTTGATTTTACGCTGCCCTTTCAAAGCATGGCTATACCCTCACATCGATATTCCCGATGTCTGAGGGAGTTACCCGCCTCGATATCGCAATCCTGATAATGAGATTTTTTTTTCTTGGCTATTATACTAATATAGCATGCGACGTTAACGAATTGCATCACTTTCTTGATTGGACATGTTCTGGGTCAGCAGGTTATTTTTCATAGTTTTACAGAAGTCGTTCCACGGTAACTCTGTGGTTAGTGCACAATATTTCATGCACAGTCATTTAAAATTTAATCGACAAACATGAGGTTTATAAAGGGGAATTAGATGGAGAATATAACATGTATATAAACGGGCATATGCGCATTCCTGATATCCTGAGTTATATATATACATGGGCCAAAGAGCCAATTCTTGACTTGAAGCCGTGTTCCCGGGACGGTTTACGGGGAACCGATTTATACATGAAAATATTCTTCTCTAATTCAAATAACATGTAAAAATAAGAATAATGTGTTTTTTTTGCTTTGTGATAGATTTGGCATGCACGGTATGGACCTGGATGAAGTATGGATGTTGTATATTTGATATTGTAGTGTAGGAGTTAATATTTAGAGATTTACAATTTGAGATATATGGTATATACGAGGGTTTCCTTGTTTGGATTATTCCCTCGACGTACTCATCTCTCATATTGTGGGTTTCTAAATCTTACCTCATTTTAGTATAGGGTATAAGATTGTATGCTTTAGGGTAGACCTTGTTATTTTAGTATAGGGTATAAGATGTATGCTTTGGGGTAGACCTTGTTGATATACATGTTTAGAATTTTCCTTTATCATCTTTAACTGAGGTTTCATCTTATTTTAATTTATAAGAATAGCTTTTTCTTTTATCACTGAAATTTTAGAATTTATCTTTTCTTTATATCCACCACTTATACTTACACGTACATAATTTCCTCATTTTACATGCTTGCTGGGAGTTTTCTGACTCCCCTGGGGTTTGCATGCCCCAGACTTGGGATTTGTTCTTTCTTCGCAGGACCAAGAGTACTTTAAGGATTAAGACCAGCGACAGTGATCACCTTCTCTCTCTCAGCTTCAGTTATTGAGTCTTTCTTGAAATCACTTGTGGTACTTCAGACTAAGATGTATTTTCCTCTTTCCTACTTTGAAGAGTTGTAGACATGTAAGAGAAATTTGTCTTTTCAGAGTTTTCTTTATCTATCTAGTTCCTTTGCTATTTTAGTTACATGCTCTATGTAGTAGTTCTTTTGGCAATATACTTGTATACAGGATGACCTAGAGGCGTGAATGTGACTGTATGGTTGCATTGCCGGCCGAGTCACGCTCCAAATTATAGCATTTTGGAACCGGGGCGTGACAGATACACAAAGAAGTTGAATGATTTAGAATTTGTGCATTCCCTAATATTCTCTATACTTCTTGCTCTTTTAGATAATTCGCAGGAGGCAAACGTGGATCTTGGGAATAGAGAGGCTGACGCACCCATAAGAGGTAACTCATTTCTATTGGTCGTAGTCTCTTTATTCTCCTTTCGTACTTATATTCTCTTGTGTCAGATTTCTCGATTGATGACTTTGACGAGGAAGGCTTGCTTGTGGACACTCCGATGCTCCACTTTATGTATGGCTCTCCCCAGATTGATGATCAGTTGCCTGGAGATGTATTTCCTGAGTCTACGCTCCCTAAGAATCCCGAGGATGGTTTTTCTAAAGGTACGTAGCTTTTCTCAAGTTAATTATAGGACTAGCCAATTTTTGACTAATGCAACTATAATGTGATGCATCTGAAAATTCTATTTTGTATTTGACAGGAGATTTTGTCGAGACTGATCCTGTTGAGCCGGCTGTGGGACCAACCACACCAGTTGATACACCCCCAGCCGTTACACTTCCATCACCCCCAGTGATTCAAGGGGAAGAAGGTATAACTTGAGCAATTGAGGAATGTCATTCATTTCTTCATCAAGGCTTTTGACGGATTTCTCCTTTTTGTGTAGGGCTTTCTTCTCGGCTTCACGTCCTTGTGAAAGAGTTATTATCAGACAGTGACCCAGAGAAGATTGTCATCTGTATAGAGATCCGTTCCTTCTTCTCCTTTGTGAATGCTATGATTGACAAGCTCTTCCACGGCGGACTTTCCCTTCACCAGTTCAAGCCATTCCTTGATCTTAAGATAAATTCCATAAGGGATACAGGGTACCCAGATCTGGCAAAGTCTATTGTTAATGATCTTGACTGCCTAGAGCGTGAGCTTCAGATGTTTCGTGAGCTCCGGGATGCAGATGCCTCTTCATTCATCGCTGCCGAGTTGGATACTCACTTACAGACATGGCGCGATGCTAGGTTTCTTGCTGAGTTAGACATTCAGGTGCAGCGGGATCGAGTGGACCGAGTTGAGGCCCACCTTGCTGCTAAATCATCTTCACTCACCGAGCTTGGCTCTTCTCTTGCCTCCTGTGCGACCGAGATAGACCAGCTCAGAAGAGCACTCCGTGAAAAAGAGGAGACTTTTGGTATTCTTCAGATGACGAAGGTAAAGGATCAACAAGCCCACACTGCTTTATCTGGTGAGTTGACATCTTTGAAGCAGAAGATGACTGAGACAGAGGAGGTTGCTGCGAAGACTTTAGCTACCAACGAGGAGTCCATCAGAGCTGAGCTGAGGCAAGCTTATGATGAGAAGCTTTCTAAGCTTAACCAGCAGATTTTTGGCCATGTTTTTGATGTATGATTTCATTTGCTGAATGTCTTGACTCTTGATCCTTTTAGTGGAACTGGTTTTTTTTATCTTTATCTTTATTATGATTCCTCATTCCGTTTGAAATGATTGACCATAATACTTTTAGGATTTTTGGCAAACCCTCAGCCATCAACGGATTTGATTAGCCTTTACCGACTACCGTTTGAGTCGGGCTAGCATGCGGATTGTCTAAATCCGTTCCGCATGTCACGTTGTGCTAAGAGAGTGAATTCTCTGAGACTTTCGTGCTATGATGTTGAATACATAGACTTCGCCATTGTTACGGGAATAGGCTACCCGGCGACACGTGTTAGGTGTTGACTTTAGGATTTTTGGCTAACCCCCAGCCTTTAACGGGTTTGATTAGCCTTTACCGACTACCGTTTGAGTCGGGCTAGCATGCGGATTGTCTAAATCCGTTCCGCATGTAACGTTGTGCTAAAAGAATGAACTCCCTTAGACGCGGATTATCTAAATCCGTTCCGCATGTGACGTTGTGCTAAAGGAATGAACTCCCTTAGACTTGATGCTACAACTTCGAATATGTAGACTTCGCCATTGTTATGGGAATAGGCTACCCAGCAACGTGTTTTAGACGCTGACTTATCCCTACTTAGGCTTCGGGATAAAATTCCCCAGAATCGAACTCTGGTGACTTTTTCTTCGGAGAAAGACTAAATCGACGACGCGTGTTAGGCGTCGGCATATCCTTTCTTAGGATTCAGGATGAAATTCCCCATGCGTGTAAGGCATGGATTCTGGTGTTATTAATAACAACCTGCCACAATGTTGAATATGTGAACGGGTGTTCTTTTTAAACGGTTAAGAACTGACCGGCAGCGCGTGTCAGGCGCAGACTTATCCTTGCTTAGGTTTCAGGATAGAATACCCCAGAATCGAACTCTGGTGTCTTTTTCTACGGAAAAAGACTAAACCGGCAGCGCGTGTTAGGCGCAGACTTATCCCTGCTTAGGATTCGGGATAAACTTCCTAGGATGAATCCTAAATTGACAAATTTTGGAAAGATCGGTGCGGGAAAAGAAGAATTTTATATTCTATTTTCCGGTCTTCTTTTAGGGTGAAGGCGAACCCGAAAACAAGGAAGGAAGAATTTTATATTCTATTCCCTGATCCTGGAAAGGAAGAATTTTATATTCTATTTCCAGCGAAGAAGAAACTAGAAGTGGGGTGTCCACTCCGAGAATCTGGAAAATTTAGATAGACTTGCCTTTTTATAGGATGAGTTATCTAAACTGAAAATGGGTTCTTCGTTTATCGAAGTGGAATTTTCAACTCCGGTTATAACCATGAACAAGGTTTAACCAAAGAGAAAAAGGGAAGGAGTTCTTTCGTTTATCGAAAAGGGACTCCGAACTGAAAGTGGACCTCTTGCTCATGGAGAGAATCAAGAGGGCCAGAAAAACATTTTTGGTGGACTCACTGTCAATTGAAATTGATCAGTGAGGGATTTTGGTGGTGAAAAAGATTTTGGGTTATCCTCTAGAATATTAAGTGTAATATTCTTCGAGGAACTTCCCAGTAAATGAGTTATCCTGAATGTACTAGGGATAGTACTTTTTCAGGAACTTCCCATTTATTGGCATTAATTGCCTGGCGCCCTCTTGAGTAATCAGGCGATATGCGCCGTTTGAATAGACTGTGTCTATTACAAACGGTCCTTCCCATTTGGGTTCGAATTTACCTTTCTTCTTGGAGGTGAGAATTATTGGTCGGCGAGCAGCGAGGACCAGATCTCCTTCCTTGAAGCTTCTCTGTCGGACTCTTTTGTTAAAAGCCCTTGACATCCTGGCTTGGTAAAACTCGATGTGTTGTTGAGCCTCCAAACGCTTTTCATCCAGCCTCTCGAGCTCTTCGAGACGCTTCTGATGTTGTTCCTCCGTCGTCATCTCCGTTGCGAGGGCGATCCGAAGGGACGGAATCTGAATTTCCAGCGGTAGCACAGCTTCACATCCGTATACCAGCGAATACGGGGTAGCTCCCGTAGGCGTGCGTATGGTGGTGCGATAAGCCCAGAGTGCTTCACCGAGTTTATCGTCCCAGTCTCGTTTATTGGTCTTCACGAGCTTTGACAAGATCTTGATGATCGTCTTGTTAAACGCCTCCGCTAATCCATTCGCGGCGGGGTAGTAAGCTGTCGACGAAACATCTTCGATTTTGAACTTGTCGCAGAATCTGACGAAGGCATTGCTTATGAACTGTGGACCGTTGTCATGAATGATCCTTCTTGGCACGCCGTGTCGGTAAATGACATGATGCTTGATGAAATTGATGACGTTGTTCGTCTTCACTTCTCTAAGCGGAATCGCTTCAGCCCACTTTGAGAAATAATCTGTGATCGCGAGGATGAACCGATCACCTTTGACTGAAGGGGGAAAAATAGGACCGACTATGTCCATGCCCCAAGTCTCGAACGGCCAAGACGTGGTTGACGTGTGCAACTGCTCTGGCGGTTGATGCATATAATTCGCATGTATCTGGCAAGCGTGGCATTCTCGTGCGTATTCGATTGCGTCACGAACCATCGTTGGCCAGAAATATCCCATCCTCCTGATGCGATCATACAGTTTAGGACCGGGCTGATGCGCACCACATTCTCCTTCGTGTGCTTCCTTAAGAACTTCCTTTGCTTCTCTGTTCGAAAGGCATCGGAGTAAAAGACCGTCGTACCCTCTACGGTATAATGTATGGGTTTCAGTATTATAGAAGAATCTTGGAGCTCTTCGGCGGATTGATTCCTTTTCTTTTACATCCTCTGGCAAGATACCATATTGGACGTAGTCGATGATAGGAAAACGCCAATCTCGGGACTCAGACCCAATTTGAGTTGAATTCACCTCTTTGGCGTTCACGTTTCTATCCTCTTCTTCTTCAATCTCCGTACTGTATATGGGTACGCAGAGTTGATGCGTCCGTACTGTGACTAACAGCTCAGCTTCGGGAGGCTGTGCCAGTGATACTGCTAGTGCCGCCAGTGCGTCTGCATAAGCGTTCTCGCGTTGTATTCGGCTACGTTATTGGAGCACGGACTAGTCAATGAATAAGCTCGAGGCATCACATGCTTCCCTGGGGAGATTAGGACAACTCCAACCCCGGAGGAAACTGTATAACCTCCCGGGGTTGCTACCCTATTAACTGACCTTGAGGCACCATCGAAATATAATTGCCATACTTGTTGATGCGACGTAGTGTTAACCTCGTGGGTTTCATCCGGCAAGTCATCATATACTTCTGCCGTATCTGTGGTCGGGTTTGCCGCCAGAAGATCACAAATCGCTTGTCCTTTGATCGACTGCTGCTGCTTGAAGTGCAAATCATATTGGGACGACTTCTGCTGCTTAAAGTACAAATCATATTGGGACAAGAGAAGGGCCCATTTCGCTAACCGCCAATTCATAGAGGCCGGTTGCGTCATAAACACCCGTACTGGATTAACATTGGAGATAACGTAGATCGTCTGTCCC